TCTAATAAGGTCCAGGTGACATTATCTAGCAGTTCTCAGCGTGCAGCTTTTATGGAAAAACTAGACATCCCTACTCCAGCCTGGACAACCAAAGAAGATGAGAATTTTCAAGTCAAAATTAAACTGCATTAACGGTTGGCAGCAAAGAAATCAGCAGCTCAACTATTTTGAGGAGTTTCAGAACTATTTTTGGAGAAAATGTTGAAAACCCTGTTCCTTTAAAAAGATACAGGGCATCTATCTGGGAATCTGTAGTTATACCAAGAGCATATTAAATGGATGCACTCAGCCTCCATTAATATCAAAAGCTAGAACCTATAGTAAACATTAACCATATACAAAAGCATCATGTTCAGAATAGAAAGATGTGTATTAAAACTGACTAACAGACAAGCTATTGAAAACACTGACCCCCCCAAAAGCTCTTCTTTCTATCTGAACACAAGCTATATATTAAACAGTCTATTTTGCTTTGAAGTATATTCTGCTTTCACATTTATGTTCTCAGAAGACTGGAGTTAACCCACCAAATACAAAAAACAGCCTTAGATGTTTTTTTTTCTTTTACAGTCAGAACTTTCCTGCTCTGACCTGAACATGCAAGCCAGTATTTGCAGGAAATGTTCATTACTAACACTCCTGAAATTTCTCTAGGTTTTGAACCACACAGGAAGGTATATTCTCATACTTCCAGCATGGCAACAACAAATCCATCTGCTGCCAAAACAACAGACTCTACACTGTCCTAACGTCACATGCACACTCTACAAAGACATCTAGAAGCCACAGGGCCTTTCTGAATCTAGCAAAAGCTCATTAGTGTAATGTACAGTACAAGTCAGACTACCAGAGACTTTTGCCTGGAAGAATAGTGAAATATGTTCATAAAACTTGGTATGAAATACAAAAAGAATCTGATGCTTAGAAGTACCTCAGGCAAACTGACACTTGTCAGATCTGGAGAGTCACATTAAAAAAATGACAAATCAGCATAGGAAAAATTGTTTTAAGAACACCCTAAAATTAAACTAGAAGAAGATAAAGGTCTATTTAAACTCACTGTACATCTTTGAATACATTATTTCCTCTGGAAGTAAGGAAACAGAAAACAAAAACCTGACTTTTAAAGTAGAAATAACAGTGATGCTAATAATGAGTGACCTAGTCAGATGAAGGCTAACAAATAAAGTAGCAGGTCTGTGCACTGAAACTTAAAAAAAAAAAAAAAAAAAAAGTAGATGAAATCAAGACTAATGATGTTTTCATTTGATGGACTGGATTTTTAAGGGCTTGGGAAGACCGAGATAGAAAGAAACCATGAGGAACTTCAAAAGCGTTTTAAGCAGGCTGCACAGCAAATATTCAAATTGAGAAATATACTTCCCTAACAGAATGTTTCTCTGATAGTCACTAGACACAGCATTTTGCAGAGGTTTCACAGTCCAATCTATCCTAATCTCTAAAACACAGGTTTCAAACAATATAAATAACTAACAAAGGAGCTTAAAAGTTAGTACTGAAATCAGACATGTCACATGGAAAAACAGGAATCCATGACAGCACCGTTGCTGGATTCTACAAAAACATTAGACTGACCGTAGAGAACCAACACATTTTAGTGCCTTTTAAAGTTAGCCAAGGTCTCCACTCTAATAAATGTAAAGAAAGTTGCATTTAACCCAGTTTTTGTGGTAAATCAGAGTAGCATACATATTTGAAGTGTCTCGTAAGAGTAGATCTCACAATGAAAAATTACCTGGTAAGAAAGTACCAGAAATACCACATCTCAAACTTCAAGGCAACCAGGATCAGACTACGCTATACTCTGGAAACTGTTGAAAGAAAAGATGCAGCAGTTACTCATGCTAGTTTCTTCTTAAGATCGTAATGATCTTGACATCTGAGGCACACTGGAAAGTTTACAAGTTTCAATCTGCATATTTGCAGTTCCTGAAGATGTAAATTGAAGCAGCAGGAGTGCAACTAAAAAAAATTTTTTAATCCAGGTGGTTTTGAGACAAATTGTTCCTAATATTTACACAGGCTCAGAAAGTCAGAATGGAATATATGCTTTAGTGTAACTGCAGGACGTTGTTTCAAATGCAAAAGCTCACTCAAAAATCCAGAGTAAACATCAAAAGTCATTATGTATTTATATTACATCAACTGCTAGAATATTGTACTGAAGACACAGTGGTACTAGCAATATAAATTACTCTAAATACAAGGAAAAATAAGTTTCTCAAACAATAAAGAGTGAATATATCAACTTGTTTAATTTGAAAATATTTTCTTTCAGTTAACAGAACAGAAAGATATGGCTTGATCAAGCTGTTTTTACGAAAATGAATCCCACTTGTGATAATCTCCAAACCAAAAAGATTCCTGACAGGTCATTCATACTTTGGATCAAACAGTCTACTAGAAAGGAGGGGGGAAAAAGTTCCTATCTGTCACTTTTGATCATAATGCAACACAACAAAAGCTAGTTCTACATATATTTTAATGTATCCTAGACTAAGTCAACCTTAAAAGATTTACTGACCTGAAAATGAGTATCTGAGATGAGGTTCTTAAAGTATTCTTTATTAATATCATTAGAAGTTGCAGAAACAACTTTCTTGTCATATAAAGGCACAGGGAGACAGTTTTGATAAAATATTCCAATCAAACAGTAACTTACAGTACAAAAAGACAATTGTAATGCACATACAAACCCCAAACATCTCATTCAAAAATATTTCACCGTGTTCATCAATAATAATGGGCAATGACTAAAAATATAAATTGTTATTGTACAATAAATATCTGATAGGTGCAAACAGAACAAGATTTATTGCTCTCCACAATGTTTTCCCTGTAGTGTTTTTCTTTTCTTAAAGTTCCAAATTCCTTTTATAATCGGCTTTAGTAGCTTACTACTGAGGGAACTAAACCCCAAATCAAATCTGATAGGACATTCTGACAGTTACAGAACTGCCTTGAGTAGTAACCAAACTGGCAGTGTTTGTTTCTTTTATAACTTTAACAATCATACTCCACTCGCTCACTGGGAAATGTCGTAGATGTTTAAAAAACAACTTTAGTGATAAGTCAAGGCTTTTATGGTAGGGTAGTATTACCTAGTTTGAGGGTTAGTCTATTTTCTTCAAATAAGTGGATTTTAAAATGAAAAATAACATGAACCTTCTCTGACAGCTTGTGCCAGAGCAAGCATGTAAAACCATTTTCAAATAAGCGGAGGGGAGAAATGAAAATTAAAAGCTGCATTGGGTATTTTAACTTCAGAAAACAAGACAAGGGATTGGGAGCAAATTAGGACTACATAGGTAAAGATGACTTGAAGTGAGAATTTTGAATTCTAAAATACCCCTAATATAGTCATCTAAGAAATCAAAAAGCACTCTGCATCTTTATATGGCTCCACTTTTTGAACTTTGAGAAAGAAGGGCCAGACAGTGAGACACATTTTCCTCACCTTGCACTCACAGCAATTTGGTAAAGCAACAGCTTCCATCAGTCTTTTGATGCAATGTGAGAGGCATACTAACTTTGCTCTTGAAAGCAGCACATACTACCTTGCTCAGAATTCTTGTTAGATTGTATGAAATATTTTTTTATACATGTATTTAAGAAATATTAGTTTCCTTCATTACTGTCACAAGAAGTAATATGCATACGTTTTCTAAGTGTATTGTTTATGAAAACAAAGCATTATAGTAGTTGCAAAAAAAAAAAAAAAAAAAAAAAAAGAGTTCTTATAGCACTAACTGAGGTTTTTATAAAAACTGTAATTTATGAGAACTCCAGATTTACCCAAACCTCACAAAGTTAATTTTAACTTCATTGGGAATAGTCAAACTTAGTTCAAGTAAGTGTGTCTAAAGTGAATACAGCTTGATCAATTTAGCTAGTAAACTAAAAGATGACTATTCAGTAAACTCCATTACACTTGAATTCAACAGAATTGGGAAGGATGTAAACCAAATTGTTAACTTTCTAGACGTTATTATTCAAATTAGGGTTTTCTTCTAGCATAAGCACATAGTTTTAGAAGCTCTTCAAAGAGTAACCAAGGACCACTGAAACTTGAATTTTGAGAATTATTAGCTTCACTACAGTATAGCATTTTTTCTTTACTATTTGTTTAGAAACTAATAAACAAAACCATTTTCTTTGGTTTATGCTTAACTACATGGACTAGTGAATTTTTATTTTTAGTCAAGCTTCTATCCCCAATTTAAAGAATACAGATATTTTTATTGTAGTCTCTCTCCAATTCTCAAATTGTCTCTGCTAAAAATAAGAGTTCGTTCATACCATGATTTCCTCCAAAACAGTCATGTGTATTTACTGGCATGAAGGGTAAAAGTTTTCTACAATAATTACATTAAGTGATATTTCCAATGGCAGAACTACAAAAGGCATCAAATGATTGTTAGTTCAAATGACATTTAAATTTATGATGATATTAAAAAAAAAACCAAACCACATTGTCTAAGCATAGTAAAATACAGTGTAAAACCCCCTAAAATTAGACAGTAAACGCGGGAATCCTGCACTCACAGTAGGAATGTACTGCACAGCATTAACATGAAAGCCCGTTAAATTTAAAACAATGCAGACAGCTAGATTTACCTGGATGTAAATGCCACTTCAGGGTGTTTAAACAAACACAAAAATGAGACAATGATGTCAGGAAAAGGGCCTTTAAAACAGGCCATCAGTCTAACTTGACTTTCCAAGTAAGAACATCAGTTTCACAGAACTGTGACACTAATGCAGTTTTATGTAAAGTACCCTTTGACACACAAGCTGTCAATTAAGCTATCACAGTCTTTTTTGACCTACTCCCTTTTAAATAGTTAGAGAGGAGAGTCAGTAGTAGCTCAAGTTTTAATTCAGTAAGTACCTTGTCTGTTTGCAAAGGAACATTGTAACACCATAAAATTATATTTTTATGGTATTTTGAAAACGGATAAACTAATTTCTTTTTTTTAATTATTTTCTCTTTTTAATACATAAGTTCAAAACTTCATTTTCTATGTGTCTTTGCAATAGTATTTCAGCCAGTGTTGCAAAAAATTTTCACTGTGGACTACCTCACATTGTTACTCAATTGTGCAAGGTATTCACGCAGTTCTTTTGCAGCTTGGAATCTACCATATCGCTTCTTTGGGTTGGCACACTCATCCAGCAAGGCCTCAAGTCGGCCATCTTTGGCAATTTCAGCTGGGGGGTCATGAAGTAGTCCTCCAGAAGTGCCACGCCATGTGGCGTGTCTTGATAAAAGGTTCTGACAAACAGCGTAATAATTGTGGTCCACAGTGACACGAGCACAAAGAATCTCTTTTGAGAAGGACAGACAGGCTTCTTTATCACAGTCATCAAATTTGCTTTCATACCATACATCCCAGTTTTCAGGTTTATCTGTGAAATAAGGAGACAGTAAAAAAAAAAAAAAGTGTGAGAGAGGAGGAAAGAGCATATTTGTGTCTGAATACAATCAGAAGTTCATACACAAACTGGTAATACTTAAACTATAAACCAATTTTATTTAGATGAACTCTGAAACGTTCTACTCTAAGACTGCATCTGACAGCTTGATATACCCTTCTGCTGAAATGGCCTCGGCAGTACATAAAGTAAGGGGAAGAAAGAAAGAGGGTAAAATAAATAGCAAAAAAGAAGAAAGCAGAAAAACCAGCACACAACACATGAAATCTACATTCACACACATACCCACAGGAAAAAAGTAGCATAAACAAGTACAAGAGGAAGACCCACAGCTGAAGCTGAGAGAAAAACAAACAAGCGACATGATTTATTTTAGCAACATAGATTTGGTTTCTCTGGTTGCCCTGGGAACTAACACTGAGAAGTGGTCTACCAAAGAACAAAAAAATTCCACTGCAAAGTAACTGTCATGAACTTCTGAAACATTATCTTCCAACTTCCTTCTTCAGACATAGTAGTAACTAAGAAGTGTGTATAAAAAAGTAGATGCATTACATAAAACCTTTGAAGAAAGAAAAAAATCAACAAAACAAATGGCATTTACATACATGTATAAACCCTTCTTTATGTATATTTTACAAGTTACCATAATTTGAAGGTACATCTTGTGGCCTGGTCACAAAGCTTTCTTTAAATTAAAACTTGAATTACAGAAAATACCTTATACAATATTATGTAAAAAGGTTACTGAGTGTGACATCTCCTGATTTCTTACTACTTTTTGTTAGAAAACATTCATCTTAAGTTTCTAGATTACTGCTAGCTTTGAAAAGTGGTCCTTGTCATGGAGTTTTGTGGATCTCTTTTAGCAATGCAAGAAAAAAATTATCTGTGTGACTATTGATCTACTCATTTACAGTGCCCTGCAAGCCAGTCTAGAAAAAAGAAAGCATACTGAAGAATGACTGCTAAAACTATAAAAATATGATGCAAAATTTGTACAATGTACAGCAAACTCAAAATGGGAAAAAAGCCAAAGGAGAATGTGAAAAAAGGACTTCAGCAAACTCAAATATGATATCCCACATGGAGTACAATTAGATATTACTGTACAGTGCAACTGGACAGAACGTACATATTCAAATAAATAATCATCCATATTAACCACTCCAGACAGAGATTGTTTAATGAAACTTTCCAGATTAATTAAATCAGTATTAAATGTCAAGTTTATACAAAGACTGAGAACTTAATTTCTGTTCTTGATTAATTATTAGATTACAAATCATGCAGCAAAATCCTAGTTAGATCCAAATTAGTCTGAATAATATAGACCAGATGTAAGCATGACACACTCTGCATTCAGCTTCTGCAAGAAGCCACTTGCTTCTATTCCATGTACACATCAAGTTTTTCAGAGTTCATTTGGTTATCTTTGTGACATGCTCCAAAATTCAAAGTCTTAAGTAATATTACTTTAAAATGGTGGAAAAAGAAATAAAAAAAGAAAAAGAAAGTTTATTTGTGTCGCCCATAAGTACTAAAGTAAATGTACGGGATATCCAATACATTGAAAAGTTTTCTTGGTAGGCTCAGATAATTTTAATCTGAGATCCTTGAGAATATATAATAAATCTTTTTAGAAAAAAAAAAAAACAACAACAAAAAAAAAAAAAAAAAAAAAAAAAACGAAAATATGGTCTTCAAGTTAATTCAGCAGCACAGCATATGAAGTCTATTTGCAAAACTTTTTTTTAAAAAAATCCATTCACCCAAAGTAAACTGGAATCACTTGGCCTATTGCCATGAACTTCTGCAGAATCTAGGGTTTCATGTGTCCAGCCCTTGGGTCTGTAAACTTTTCCTTATAAGCTCAAAAGGAATATAAACCCATGTAATACCCCTTTGTCAAACATCTCTCCTGCTGCTTTGAGCTTTTACAGTTGACAGAAAGATGAACAAATTTTCACCATTCCCATTTGGAAACAGCACTAAAATTTCCCATTCCTTCAGTTCCATTATTACAGAGCACAGTTGAACAAGAGGCAGGCTATGTAACTAAGGCAAAGTGGGCAGGAAGACTGTCTTGCCATTCACAGAAAACAGAATGCCAAGACTTGCGTACAGACATCTGGAAAAAGATGGGAGCCATCTCCCTCTTTTAGCAAAGGTAGACAAGTCCATCAGCCAGCCTACCTGTCTATCTGCCCATCCATCTGTACAAACCCCTCCAATCTCCAAACCCTCTCTTCCCACCCCACCTCTCCATTTAAGCAGGATTACAGAGATGAAAAGCATATGTAAATCAAGTTCAGGTAGACTCCACACTTCATAAAATTGACAAATTGGTCAAGTTAATTAGTAGTCTAATTGCAGAAGAAAGCTAATTAGTTTGTTAATTAGTAGTCTGGTTATAAAGCCAACAAAACGAGAATTTAGCAGCTACACATACTTTAAATATTGTGCTTGCCGAGAAAGAAGCAAAAGACATGGGGTGAGGGGAGGGGAGAGGAGAGAAAGAAGACACTTACTCTGTCTGATTAACCTTTTGTCTGCTACCAGAACGTTTTCTGCATCTACAATGATAACTTTCCCATCTCTTGGTCCAACTGCAAAGTTGTCAAAGCTGACATCAAGGAGGTAGAGTGCAAATTCAAAGTCATTATTTGTCAGCTGCTCCGCTATTTCCATTAATTGCCAGGCCAGATCAACTCGTTTCTCCCATGGTGCATTAAAATAACTCCACAGCTCTTCTCCAACGTAATTGACAGCCACCATTCTTCCGCATGCTCCTAAGTACTTTGCAAATGGCCAGCCCTCATCGGATGGAAAACTCTGTATGTAAAAAGATTTTTAAAAATTTTCATTAATACAAACCAGCTTAGATTTTAAAAGGCTGTTCAATAAAATTTAGAATAGACACCTGTAAATACCCATCAACACTACATTTCCATATACTTCTAAGTTTTGAAGGGAAAAAAACCCAACAAAATATATGTGAGTAAGAGGCCCTGCTGGACCACTGAAGGGAAAGAGTTTGAGGACCTGAAATAATACACAACCAATATCTAGCTTTCCATATATTACATACATATTCACAGGCACAGTTCCATCAAATACATTTTTCTGTTGGTGTTTTATACACATCTGTCATACTAATACAAGTATACTTCCCACCAAGATAATTTTGCATCTGAAATTTTTAATTAAAACCAATTATAATAACCTAAAGGAAAAACCTTTAAAAAGTGACAACTCTTCTCTCCACCCCCCTTTCCATTTTTCACAGTTGACTGGATTCCTTTGAGGATCCTCTCACTTGAAGATCTGTCACAGAAAGGATTACAGAACAGATTAAGGTATAAAAGAAAGCTTAGGGTTTCTTATGCCTCTAGTACACCTTAACAATCTAACTCTTGATTAATTGCTACATACATACTCTCTATGTACACACAGGCACGTAACATTTTTATCAAAAGTAAAATCTGTTTCCAAATAGTAGATTTCTTGGATTTTAACATAAAAGACTGAATAGTAATAACATACTACAAGCA